TGGAGCCCCTTGTGGCCAATGCTCATGAGCTGAGCTGAGCTTTTCCTCTGAAGCTCAGATGTCATCCACAACCACCCCGTGTCATGGAGCCTTTTCCAGAAGGGTACTCTTTCTGAAGCTCTGAGTTAGGCTTCCCTCCCGTGATCGGGATCCTCCCCTTATCCTTCTCCTCATAATTGCTTCAGCCTGCATTCTCCCTCATGTATATTTTCAGATGCCCACATTCTTATGACAATAAAAGGATTAACAGCAGAGCTTTAGGCAGAATACACTGTCTCTTCCCATTTGCAGCCATTTTCCTTAAAAAACAAGCAAACAAACAAACAAAAAACAACAACAGCAACAACAAAAAGCTCATCTCCCACTGATGCCTCGGGCTGCCATAAAGAGCATCCTGAATCTGTCAATGTCCTGAAGCTGCTCTGAGTGAGGCAAAGACCTCATTACCAATTCCAACATCATTTTTCCTGGTCAAATTCTTTTGAGTCTTCTGTGGTGACTGATGTTAGGGTTTTTGAGGCAGAAGAGTACCTTGGCATATCAGGGTCAAGGAAAGCCACAGGGTTCATACCACCCAACAGATCTCGCTCAAGAGATTTATTGGCAGGGGGTGGGGCTGAGTGAAAGCCACCTCTGATTTTCGACAGGAGAGATGAAGAAAGAGAAAGAGAGACAAAGACAAAGACAGACAGAGGGGGGCTGTTAGATAGTTAGATAGACTAGCATCCTCCTGCTCTGGGTTCAGTTGAGACTTCCTGCTTTGCTTTGATGAATACAATGGGAAGTGATTAGGGAAGACTCCGTTGTCAACCTCAGGCTCCCATATGCATACACACATGCAAACTGCATACACACACATGCATACCACACACAGAGACACACAAGAAAAGAAACATGCAAGTGAAGTAAGTCAATTTATCTCCTTCTTAGGTGCTTTTAGATGGTCTCTTGCTGTACCATGCTCCTTGGCAGGGAAAAATTACCACTGGCTCCTTCAGTATTATTGAGAAGATGTTAATTAGCTTCCACAGCTGGGTGATGAAACTGTGAAATATCATGACTACCCAGATTCTATAATCCCAGCTGAATTCTCACCCTTAGCAGTGAATAATAGTGACACTCAGCTTTAGTATGTCAGTAAATATTTAACAGATCTTTTAAAAAATAGCTGATCATTGTCGAGCCAGTCTCTTTGGTTGCAACATCTTCACTCTTCTCTCATATTATGAACTTGTTTTTCCATATTTCTACTTGGTCCTTCATGACCAAGTCAGTAGGGAACTTTCCATTCATTTCCCAACAACCCAACTGCTGGCCGTGTCTGGGCTTCCAATAGCTAATGAGGAAAGCAGGAAACTCAAGAAGACAAGAAATAAGAGCCCAAAATGCCGGAGAAGATTCTGACACCCATTTGTGACCCCCCACCCATCCCCTGTCCCACCTATCCCCCTGCCCCGCCCC